TATACAGGGTCATTTTTAATTTACTGAAGACCTTTTGGGAATATACTATTTACATCATAACAACAACCTCTGTAACAAGAAAAAAAAATATTTCTTAAATTTTCATTTTCATACAAAAATAAAAATATTTTCTATATCATCATCATCATTATATCTGGCCAAGTTTGAATGAGTAAGGACCACTTCCTACACCCCTCCACCCCTCGCCCACCACCGGTCACGCGCTTTCTTTTGCTAATTGCTGGACTATTACCGTTTAGAAGGAGCAATAAAAATACTTTTATTTTTGTAAAATTTATATTTTTAATTTTATATTCGTTATAATTTATAATATTCGTTATAATTTTATGAAAATTATTACGAATAGTATGTGTATAATTATATATATATACACATACTATTCGTTATAATTTTTTCGAAATTATCGATATTTTATTAGTTTTTGGAGTCAATTTTATTGATTTTTCTGAAAAAAATGATTTTAGGGCAATTACAGAAAGAAATGAAAATCATTCGTAATCTAATCTTGTTTATTCATTAGTTAAAAATATATTTAAAAAAATTAAGTTGATATATTTTATAAAATTTAGTCATAGATATGTTAAAAAATCGTAAATCATCATCATTCATGATCAGGTCATTTTATGAATTTCTATTCCTTATATACCTGCTAACATTTTAAAATCATAAAACTTCAGGTTTTCAATAAAATAATTATTTTAACAATAAAAGGATTCCGATGGGTCTATTAGTACCTACATAAACAACAAAAAATTCTATAACTTTCAACTTTTGGAACGAGATTTTTGTAATTGATCTAAACCACCTATTTATTTTTTTATGATTTTTTGAAGTCATCAATCTAAACAAGTCAAATTTTAAATGATATTCGCCACAGAATTGTAATTTAGAGTTATTTCAGTTTATGAATAAAGGTGCGATGTAACTTGTAGGGAATGTATATTGTACGCAAACCGTTAAAATAATAAATATTAGATAAACTTTGAAATTGCTCTTGCGCCGAGTCGCGCCGCCCCCGCCTCCGCCCCCCGCGAGCGCCCGCGCGTCACCGGCTGCTGCTATCATAGTGTGTGTGAGAATTTGCGTATGTTGTATTTGTGTTGTTCACTGCCGGGGGGATGCAAAACGGTATGAAACAGATAGCATTTTTAAAAATACCTACTCTCGCCGCGTATCGGCACTTCACAATCCTCTTAAAATCTATTTATAAAAATATTAATACATAACGGAAGTATGAATAAAATTGAATAAAATAAAGCAAATAACGATTGTCACCCTTGAACCATGGGGGTAACATAATTATAATTTGTATGGCAATTTTAGCCCTCCATACATAATAACCTTGACCATGAGATTGGGTTCCTTAGAAGCCATGTTCCAACACCATCCGATCCCATCCACGTGTATCGAACACCATTGAATGCCACCATATGTATGCAAATTGATTTATTATGTAATCTCGATTGCTTTACTTTATCCCAGACCCTAGTTTCTTTTTAAATAAGAACACTCACCAGTCACTAATGAAATGCGATGAATGAAATAAATGTGTTTGGTGAACATATTTTATAACTTTTTTAATAAAACTTTTTAATTCTTTTCGGATTTTTTCGCAGATTCATTTTGATTTTTGGTTCCCGACGTTTCGAATGCTTTACAACAATCATGGTCACGGGAGAGATATTCCGAAAAGATAGTTCTATTTAAAATATAAAATATTCGCGTAAATATAAGAAAGTTATGTTTATTACTTCTTAACGCTGAAATAAATCAACAGATTTGAATAAAATTCGAAATGGAGATAGCATACGTGATACGAGTATGTTCTAAATAAGAACAGGCTTTTTATCTAGATTTTAGATATCTAATACATAAAACAATAATTAACAAGTCAGATATATTTCATTTTATACAACAAAATTAGATATCATAGCACTAATAAGATCTACATAATTTAGATGAATAGTGGTGTTTATATGAAAGCTGCCTATAAGGTAACCTATTATCTATACAGATACATAAAAATGAAGTGTCTGTTTATAATGTTAAAATAAAACAATGTAACCACAGGTCCGAAGTCTAGCTTTTTACTAAATGCATATGAAATTATATACGCTATTAGGAAAAAACAAATTTATAAAATTTTTGTCTGTCTGTTTGTTTGTTCTGCTGTATGTTTGTTGTTATTTGTAAAGATGATGTTACAAGGGTAACTTACGCCTAGGCCAATCATGTAAGTGAGCACCAAAGCGGGGTCTTTATTTTGCTTATTTTTAGTGTCTGGATGGTAATTACATCAGCAATATTTATTTATTTAAATAGTTAATTAAAATTTAGTCGATTTAGATTAGTAGTCTATGCTCAAAAGCAAAAAGCACGTTCAGGGATTCCCCAAAATAATCGAGACGTAATAAATAATGTTTGTTTCGTTTTAGCTGACAACAGACAAAAGACAACACAAACAGAATTTCAGTAATTATTAATTCCTTATTAATAATTACTGAAATCCTGTTTACGTAATACTTTATTATTTAAATTTTAGAAAAAGAATTATGATTCCGCTCAAAAAAATTGAAACGTACTCGTACGCACTCGAGCGATGCGAGGGCAAGTCGCTAGTTCATACTAATATTATAAATGTGAAAGTGTTTTGGCTTGTTTATCCTTTTTTCACGTCGAAACGGAGTGACGGATTGGGGTGTTTTTTTGTGTGGAGATAGTGAGAGGGCTGGAGTGACATAAGCTACTCTTTACAGCGGGAAATTATTTCATTTCCACGGGAAAACACGTCATAATACAACCCAAAAAACTATTTATGATCAAAATTATTTTAAACTTGGTATAAATGATCTTCAAATGTTTGTATGAAACCTACCTTTTAGATTTTTATGTAGTTTTAGTGCGAGCGAAGCCGCGGGTTCTGCTAGTATTTAATAAAAATGTGTAGTGTAAATTTATAGAAATTATAATGCAAACAGCGCCATCTATGAATACATTGTATATTTTTTGTTCCTTTATTATTTTACTTATCTATAGAAACTACGCCATCTATCGACACTTATTTGAGCTATTTTTATAATACCTATATTTTTTAAAGAAATTATTAATCTAGGTATATAATTATTGACTTATTCCAAAAAAGAAAATGTATGTACTGAATTCAGTTATACTTTTTCATTTGCCAATTCCACTCGCACGCAGTTTTTGCTAAATAGTATTTAGGTCAAGATTTAAACTAACATGCTACTGATATTATCACAGATAGTAATGTATACTGTAGTAATACTATACAAGTACAACTAGCTCTCTAGACTCGTAAGTTCGTTTTATTTCGTAGTGAAAGTTCCGTCAAAATTAGTTCAGCCATTTCAGAGATTATCCGGAACAAACAGACGGACACAAAAATGTAAAAAATGGTGTTTTTCTTATATGTACCGTATATAATTTCATATACATTTAGTGAAACGCTGTTATTTTGACATTACAAACGGACCCTTCGATTTTATTCATCTGTATAGATTACAAGCATAATTTATCATATTTTTGATTATTTGTTAATTCTTGTTAATTATTTAATTTTTAGCAATATTACTCGAAGGTTAATTTAAACACAAGCTTCAATAACAATTCGATACATATAACGCCATCTAACGTCATTTATTAAAACTAAAAGAAAAAAAAGGCTTTTTTTAATCTTGTTAACGTTAAAGGATCAATATATATATATATATATATATATATATATATATATATATATATATATATATATATATATATATATATATATATATAATATATATATAATTCTTCTGTGAGTGTGTATGTCACTGAACTTCTCTCAAACGACTGGACCGATTTTGATGAAATTTTTTGTGTGTTCAAAAAAATTATTAAAAAAAGTTTGAAATTTTCAAATTAAAGACGTGTAGACAGGACAACGTCTGTCGGGTCCGCTAGTATATATATATATGTTACGTAGTATTATATGATCTGTGATTACAGGCACCGTGAAGTCTGGTGACTATGAATAATGACCAGTATGTATACATAACAGCCGTATCAAGTAGGCAATGTAATTAAATAGTTTTTATAATCTACGAGTATAGTTTAACTTATTTTGTAGTAAGAATTACTTAATTTTATATAATAAACAAAAACACTAATTCATGTTTTATAACATTAATATAGGGTAGTCATTGTTCATACTGCCCGGTTGAAGTGATAAATTCAAGCAATCTCAAATCTTGTTCTATAAATGGACCACGAGCCGTCCATATTATACATTATACACAGAAGATAAAGTTACGAGTTTTTTAGTAGTTACAAAATAACGTAAATAGCAGCCACATGGACCGTAATAACTATTCAGATTAAACTGACATTTGCTGTACAAAGAAACGACAAAATTATCACAAGTGCCAGTCTCCTTTGTTTTCTCCATTCTACGTGACAATGGCGAAGTAATCTGTGCTCAACTGGCACGCTTTGAAGTCATTAACAATTTTTTAGCCATACAAGAAAATTGAATTGAAAATATAAATATAAAATAACAACAGCTTAAGTTGGTTTATATTACTAATAGCTAAAATTTTATTTGCACAAAAACGGGTTAAATAAAACACCAGTCGAGTGTCGCCACCATTTATTTGAATTTTACTAAAAAAATTGAATAAAAAATATTGTATTTCATCAACATGTTATTTTAGAAATGATTAAATATACAGTTGTAGAAAACGTCCCGCACGCGTGCGCTATATTATGTATTATGTCGTCATTATTATGTGGTTGTGAGTGGTTGCGCGGCGCGGTTGTCGGTTGATCGGTTATATAAATAAGGTTGTAACAACCGCAGTTGCCGGGTATTCCATATATTCACAGTGAAGCGCAACCGGTTGTGGTTATGTTTGGGCTGTCATCAGTTGTGTGTGGTTGTGTGGGACGGCGCTATGTGTTCAGTCTCACTCGCTGCCTTTAAACTAATCTTCCTCCTCGCCGCTTTCCGATTCTAGAAAATGAAAAAACAATTCAATATAACACAACAACAACAGTCGCTTAGAAATAAAAATAACTATTTTATTTTCAGACTTTATACTCTGATAGTTATACCAAAGTAAAAAAAGTCTTATAAATAATAAGAAAAAGGAAATCCCATCAATATATTTTAAATCTTGACCAGTTCTCTTGAACCGGTCAATTAATAAATTCGAAAGTTTGTATGCATGTGAGAGTGTATGTTGTTATTCCTACATGCTTAAACAGTTTTATGGATTATGGTAGAAATTTAGTACACAGAAAGAATATAACTTAGAGTAACGCATAGGCTATTCTTAAGTATCTAGGGACGCTCCTGAACGAGGGAAGCGTAAGTCGCTAGTTTTATATAAAAGCAGGTACATTTTAACGGTTAATATAGAAGAAGGATTAAATATTAGTGTATGTAATATAACGTATTTTCACGTGGGAATGATAATATCTCGCGGTAAAAAATAGCCTATGTCAATCTCCAGCCCTTCAACTATCTCCACACAAAAAATCAGCCCAATCCATCTGTCTCTGCTTCACCGTGATAGAAGGACAAACAAACAAACACTTTAACATTTATAATATTATTAAGTATGGATTAATACCACTTAAAGCACACCACCACCGTGTACAATATACGAGATATGCCCACCTTCCTCGGCGCTCTGCAGCCACTCGACAAACTTCTTCATCTGGTCGAGGAACATGACCTTGCCCTTGCTGGAGTTGGGGTCGCGGTACCACTTGAGGATCACCTCCTCGGAGAGCACGTTAGTCTTGTACAGCATCAGGACCAGTTTGCTGAACGCGCGCATGAAGCTCATGTTCTCGTAGCAGTACTCTTGCACCTGACATGGACATATTTATATAGATAGATAGTTTTAGTATTTCTATTATAAATTAGCGAATAACTCTAGCTTCGCTCGGATGCGTCCCTAGGTACAATTTTGTTCACAATTTCATGGGTTTTAATTTTTTTAGGCGGAACCCTATTTTCTTTTTCTAAAATAAAAGTAGCCTAAGTTACTCCTTATAACATCAGCTATCTACCAGTGAAGTCACGTCAAAATCGGTCCATTCGTTTCAGAGATTAGGGAAAAGCAGACAAAAATTTTGACAATTATTTTTTTCTTATAAGTATCATATATAACTTCATATGCAGTCATTTGACATTTTAAACGAAAAATGCTTATTCGGTTTTACAAAAAAACTATTTTATCTCTTTATAATATTAGTCTAAATAAATATGATATGTATCGCAGTAAATGCAGTGAATACACAATAATGTCTCCAGAGATAAACCGCGAGTCACTCTCGCACACTTCGACACCGACACACGCACAGCGTCGTGTGTCAGCTCTAATCGTGTGCCTTTTTTATAAATAAGAACCCATGACCATGATTGCTGTTAAAAGCATTCAAAACGTCGGGAACAAAAAATCAAAATGAATTCGCGAAAAAATCCGAAAAGAATTTCATAAATTTTCAAGTTATTTGATAAAGTTACAGTCATGAGAACTGCCGAGAGAAGTGAAAACTTAAAACTATAAACAAACAGTTGTTATTTTTGGATATTCAAATTGTTTGATCTTAAATTATAATTTGTAAATTAAAACTGTTTACATTTATTTGGTTTTGACATCTATCGGAGTGTTAGCGTTAGCACGTCACGTGACCATGTCGATGACGACTTACATAGATTTACTCAATATCCAAACCTGCCTATAGAAGTTTTCACTTCAAAAAACAACTTATTATATTACGAACAACTCACTTTAGTCAACAAAGCAATCTCGGCCTTAGCCGACTGCGCAAAAGCGGCCAGCAACGGTGTGTAGTGGCGCAAGTGCTTAGCCGCTTGCTCCGCCAACAGTTCCTCCTTTTTGTTCCATTCACCCCGAGACATCACACACTGCCAGATCTTAAAAAGATACAAGACACAAAATCAATTATATGTTGTATTATTTATAGTTGTATTTTATATTATTTAATTATAATTTCAGATTGCCATGTCGACAGTGAGACGCAGTGAGTGACACCAGCTCTGCAGCGACCGAAAGACTCGGCTGCAGCAGGCCGGCGCATTCAGGCTGTGCCTCTCCGACTCGTCATCAAGTTTCATCATAAAATTGTTTAATATAGAATTTTGATTACTATCGCTACATATCTGGAGGTGCTAAGTTCGAGTTCCGGGTCGAGCCAAATGTAGTTATCGATAGTAACAGTCAAGAATTAAGAAGTTGGTGTTTCAGCCCAGTGCCTCGGAGAGCACGTGTTGCGTCACTTCTGCGACTTCACTCTTATTCTGTCGTCATAATAAAGAAGGCCCTAACTAATAATTTGGTCAAAAACGACTTAAATGCAGGTTCGGAATTGTAAAAAAATGCTACTTGATAGTCTTACTTTTAAAGCTCTAAGTCTTAAGAATCCGGTGATACCGTGAACATTTTCATCTTAACTAAACTACTATTAAATACAAAGAAAAAACTTCAAATATCTCGAAATCAACTTTGACGAAGTCGCGGCCTTTTTTTATGAAGGCAGTACTGGTCGAGTGGTCGTCCCACCGGAGTATGAGAGTGAAAGGAATAGAGTGCACGTTGTGTTTGCGCGCACACGCGCTGCACTATAACATCTCCTGCACATCCGACTAGTTCCAGTGAGTTTGGCCGCTGTAGCCGAGGACATTTAAAATAAATAAAAATATGTTGCGACATTAACACACAGCACCATTCAGTTCCATGGCAAGCTACAAGGCTTGTGTTATGGATACCAGATAGTTGATACACTACACATATATAACTTTAAATAGATACACATTATAAATATAAACAACCCATTAGTACAAACATTCGTGCTCATCATACAAATGAATGCTCCCAGCGGGACTCGGGTCCGCGACCGCTGGCACAGCAAGTAGGTTCGCTACAAACTGAGCCAAGCGTGTCGTCATTATAATAGGTGGGCACACTCACGATGGCGACGACCTCGTGGTCGGGGATGGCGTGGCGCAGCGCGGCGTCGCGCGTGTCGGCCACCAGGTCGCGCACGCCGCGCGCGTCCGCCAGCTGCTCCAGCAGCGCGTGCGTGAGCTCGCGGCGCGCCTCCTGCGACGCTTGCGCGCGGTGCAGGCGCAGCAGCTCGCCGAGCCCGCGCGCCGCGAACGCCGCGGCGAGCGTGTCCTCCGTGCGACGGTTCAGCGGCAGGAACTCTAGCAACCTGACAGTCAACACGAACACGTTAACATTCATAATCTATACTAATATTATGAACAGGTAAAGTTTGTGAGTTTGTGACGTTTTAGGGCGTAATCTCTGGATCTACTGAACCGATTTAGATGAAATTTGGTAAGAAGATAGTTTGAAACTCTGGCAAGCAAATAGGATACATTTTATTCCGGAAATCGTCCCTTAAGGAACCGAGAGAAGCGAGGGCGAGTCGCTAGTAATGAATCAAAAGATTACAATCCAGTAGGTTTTCAAATATAACAGTTTTAAGTTCTATTAATATACTAGCATTGCCCGCGAGATAGAGATATGCTATCGCGGACTTTTTTGTAGCATTTTTATAGATTTTGAATTCTCTAGTACATTACTTAACTGTATCTTTGCTAGATAATAAACAATACTAAACAACCAGCAGTGGTAGCCAAGTGAACGCGCTCGTTTGGGAAACCGAGTGAAGCGAATTAACGTTACATGTTACGTTAAACGTTAAAAAAGATTTAATACAAACAACCAACCCACAATTTCACTAATACATAAAAACAAAGTATACAATGTAGCGACATTTATGACAGCACTGCTTGTTGTGTGGCAGCGAGCCAGTACACGTCGCGTCACTCTGCCCTATCAATGTATATAGTTTCTAAAAAAAAACTACTTTACAAAACTGATAGGGATATATATTTTTTTATTTGTAATATATATATATATATACGACTTTCACTGACAGATAGCTGATATTATAAGGAGTAACTTAGGTTACTTTTATTTTACAAAAAGAATTATGGTTCCGCTCAAAAATTAAAATATACTTAGTGACACACCCGAGCGAAGCAATGGTAAGTCGCTAGTTTACAACATAATATTTTTTTTACCGAATAAGCTTTGTTCTATTTAAGGTAATTAGACTATTGACTTATGTACATATCATTGAACTAATAAAATACAAAAGTTTGTATGGTATGTGTTACTTCTAATTGAAGTGGCTGAGATTTAGTACACAGATTTGATTATGAACTGGAGTAACAAATAGGCTACAGTATGCCTAAAGGGAAATATTTCGTTTTAATCCAAGCAGCATAAACAGTTTACACGCATATACATTATTAACCATCTCAGAAGTCTTGGATTCAAGTCTTGGATCGGGCCAAGTTCAGTAAATGAATATCTCTGTCAAGAAATTCTCAATGACAGCCCGGAGTCGGGAAGTTGGAAGTGTTTTAACCTTGTGCCTCAGTGTGTGCAAGTGTACAATGCACTTGCTTGCGTGCATACTTGTGTATAGTACACAAGTCTGCACGCAATCTCCTATGCTAACTAGTATCACTGAGATTGGCCGCCTCGAATCGATCGGGAGGATATTATTATTAAATTTTAACTGTCTATGGGACCCACCTGCCTTCCAGCTGTCCCTTCTTGAGTGCAGTGACGAGGGAGGCCACCCCGCGCTCCGCCTTCACCGTGGCGAACACCTCCAGCACAAACTCCAGCGCCAGGTTATCCTTCAGCAGATGCTCGTTCACTAGCACCAGCAGCACTGACGGTGGCACGCAGCCATTGCCTGTCATGGATCATGGAAAATAATTATTAATCTATATAATACCTCATTATATATCCGTAAGATTTGTGAATTATACTTTCTTAAATTTGCACGAATATTTGACATTTCAAATAAAACTCTTTTCGAATATTTTCCCCGATTTTTTGATGTTTGGTTTCGAATGCATTACAGCAATCATGGTAACGGGAGAGAACTAAAAAATCGAAATAAATCCGAAAAGGTAGCTTTATTTAAAGGTGAATGTTTGTTATTTCTTCACATTAACTGCTCAATAGTTTGGAGTAAAATCGATGGTAGTTTACACATAGATTTCTTTATATCGACATACCTACACCACAAGTAGGGTCGCAAGCACAAAATAATACCTAATAATAATTAATTATTATTTTAATTTTGTTACAAGATACTGCCAAGTATGAACAATTGTAATATTTGCCAAGCTGTCAGTTTGTAATCAATAATCTCTAAAGAATGAAACTGAGTTCAAATAGACATTTTAAGTGAGTAGATATTTTTAGGCTATCAGCAGTCACTCTGTGCCACTCGATATATACGAAAATATTGAAGAAATGGCATTATTTAAAAATTAAATGTATCAAGGCACTATATAGAAGTACAGTATTAACTGAACTACTTTAGCATAGCAACTAAGACAATGCTGTGGCACACTTCGACACCGACGCAGCTATGGAGCACGCGTTGGCTCTAATTGTGTGCAAATATCTTAAAATGATAATAAATAAAAAAGTTTAAATGATTTATGTTTCTCCATTGTAATACAAAAACTCAAGAAGCGCACAATTCGAAATTATCCCCTTCTTTCAAGGTATCTGGTTTGACTTAACGTGACATGTCGACGCCACTTTTTAAACAGATATTTGTCAAGAAATGTGTATCTGTTTTTATATAATATTAGATTGATTGGTTCGTCCCTAATTACGTTTTAACGTTTAGTATACATAGATGTCTCACAGGTGAGATATTTTCCTACAGTACAAAGTATCCTATATGTTGACCCGGATAACCTGCTATCATCATACAAAATATCATCAAAATCTATCCAGTGATTTTTTGTGATATGTTCCCAGACAGACCGACAAAAATTCTAAAAACTAGATAGTGGATTCTGCCTCTGTATCGATTAATAATGAATATTTTAATATGATTAAAAATTTTTTTTATATTAACAGATTCCACTGATATACAATTTTATATGTATAGATTAATTATTTCTATATACATACCGATCCAGAGGGCGGTCATGCGGGCAAGCTTGAGTCGTTGGTGGGGTTCAAAGCCCTTCAGGTAAACTAGGACCTGCAATATCAAACATTTAATTAACAAAGGAAACATTTCACTATATATTTATATATATTTTGAGTGTATATTCAGATTGCCATGTCGACAGTGAAACACAGTGAGTGACACCAGCTCTGCGGCGACCGAAAGACTCGGCTGCAACAGGCCGGCGCGCTCGGGTTGTGCCTCTCCGACTCGTCATCAAGTTTCATCATTGAACACATTCATAATCAGAATTTAAAAGTGTAGGGTAGAGTTCGTGTAATAAAGAAATGGAAACCCCTATTGCTATTTACAAAGAAATTAGAGAACAGAATCACCAAAAACCAATAATTTAATTTACTTAAGTACTAGATACACAATCAGCGACAAAAAATGCCCTCACCAAATGAGCGCTCATTTACAGCGTCATTTGAGAGCGCTTTTAATGAAATTTTAATGAAAGTTTATAATGGGGACTCAAAATAATATATAAAAATAAAACTATTTGCTTTACCTTTTTCATTTCTTCTTCAAACATCTTCTCCAGATATTTATAACGACGCATTAACTTCACGAATACCTGTCAAAAATAAAACATATCAATATCCACCGCAATTAAAAATAACATCAAATTTTTAAAATAAAATCAGCATAAAAACGAACGAGAATGTGTTTATCCACATAATATTTCAGGACTCTAGCCATGTTTTTCATCATATGAAATTAAAAACGTATTTAAAAAATAAAAATATATTTAAAAAAAAGTTTTCCGTCTCGGGACGCCCGGCAGATGTGAAACATCTATGTTAATATGAGATCTATGAGAATTCATAATTAATAAAAACCTATAACGAAATATGGAGTAAGATAAAGAAAAAATATAGTTTCGTTAATAAAATCAATTTATTTTTGTTATTATTTTAATATTAATAATAATTACAGAATATGTATCCATACATATAATAAAATTCTGAGTCGAATTACTAACTGTTGTACATTAAATATTTTTTGGAAAATCTTATTTAAATTTTGCTGCCACGGCATACGACGAGTCGGTTTTACTGCCAAGACGAACCAAATAGATGTTTCACATCAAAAAATACCTAGGAAATTTAATTAAAACCTTATTTATCAAAAAAAAAGAAATAATAACTTCCAAATACCTGTTCGAAGTTGCGCATAGTCTCCATATCTTCGCTGGCGTTGAAGATACATGTGTTGGTCTTGGGGGATTCCCCGTCCATCGACACGGATCCACCGGGAACTGGCAACCAAAGACTGTTGTTACTATTTATGATTTTTTTAAATTAACTATGGCTAAGATAGATTATTGATCAGATAAAAAACGAACGAAATTGTTTTGTCCACATTAAGTTCAGTACTCTAGCCAATTGTATCATCATATAAAATCAAGTCATAAGATAAATGCAAAAGTTTGTATGTGTATGTATGTATATAACTCATTCACGCTGAAAAGAGCTGGACGGATCAAGAAGATACACAAATAGCCACATATTATATGCTTCTGGTAATAAATATTTGCCAACTTGTGGTGCTTCCTACATATAATAATATACATACAAAAGCAACCAGAGAGAAATGAGAGAAGTCGCTAGTGTAAAATATATATATATTTTATATTTTGCAACCAACAGGAATCGAACCCGCACCACCAGTCATATTGGCATTGCGCCACACTGGTTTCTCAAAAGCATACTCATGACGTAACCGTCAACATAAAAACCTCGCGTATATTATGATAAATAATATGAAAACTTTAAAAAGGTCACTGTCAGATCGTTTAATGGTTACCGATTATATAAGTTCTACTTCCTCCACACTTGGCCTACTGCCACCAAACTCGTACAAACGTGTCACCGACATTTTAAAGCAGTTTACGAATTTTAGTAACATAACAATATTATTTATTATTGCAACTGTTGAAAACGATACGTATCTGTCTGTTTTGTATTATTTTAAAATACATCAATGAGTATTTAATATTCTCTCAATAATTAAAATAATCACAAAACAATGGCTTATAACAAGTTAGGCCTTAATAGAAATTTAAGTGCCTACAATAAAAAAATCAGTCACAGATTAATGAACACCACTACCTATCGAATCCTGTCAAAAAAATCTTTTGGTCTTTACCATCTTATTGTTAGCCGTATTAACCGGTGCATTGATAAGGTTTACAATTTTCATGTATATCATACACACAAATATACATAATGATATTATAGAAAACCATCAAAATCTACGTACAAAAACAATAATTTATAATAACCATATATACTCACGCAGAAGCCCCCCGGCGATGAGCACGTCGAATATGACCTCGCCATAGCGGCGGTAGTCTAGTTTGGAGCCGGCCGCGTCTAAGTACTTGTACGCCGCGTCCAGGTCGCCGCCCGCGCGCTCGAGCCCCGTGACCAGAGCGTCGCGGAACCCGTTCGGGTCGTACTTCTCTTTCTCATCTGCAGGTCAACAATGATCAATATTCATTAATAATCATCAATAAAGCTATAATCGTGGCTGAGTTTTGGACTGACTCAATTTAAAACTTGCCGTAGATACGAGATGAAGAAGAAGATGAATAATAATCACAAAAAAATTGTTGTTAATCACGATCAACATCAGTGATCGTTTAGACGTTTTTAAAGAGTTGAGTTTGTCACATTTTGCCTTCAAAACAGCGTAGGTAATTAATTGCACTGAATAGACACTCATATCTTGTCACGATGCCTACTGAAGTTTATTTTAAGAAATAATATAGTATCATGTATAAACATTAAATCACTCTTCCTGAGGAATAAAAATTTGGGTGCGATTTTCGCTTTAGTATTTAGAATTGAAAATATACGATTTCACGTATAACATTAATTAAAAACAAAAAGAAAAACAAAAAACCACGATAAAGTACGTAAGAAACTTAAATTCTATACCCATAGTCCATATTGATACTTAAATCGACTTATATACCAGATATTTAATAAAAAGTATAATTCGAAAAGCTAAAGCAATTTATCAATTCGTATGATTTATGTACGTATGTGGGAGGTATAGATATTCGAGTGTGCCAAAAGGCCATGTGTCAAAGCTTGCGGAAAAAAGGTCGATATTTAAAGGTCACCAATTCAGCGATCTAGTCTAATCTGTCCTCAATTTCTATTAAAAAAAAAAAACTAAATACTACGATACTAAAATATCAGTATATATGTTAGTACAGTACCATCTAGATCCATGGTAAGCTAACGAGGCTTGAGTTATGAATACCAGATAGTTGATACACTACACAAACATAACTTTAAATATGTACATACAAATTATATATATAAACACCAATGACTGGAGTACAAACATATGTGCTATCACACAAATGAATGCCCCCAGCGGGACTCGAACACGTGACTGCTGGCGCAGCAAGTAGTGTCACGAAAAACTGAGCCAACGTGTCGTCAATCAGTGGTCATGTTGACAAACAAACAAAACTAATGTTTTTACTTATATACAATATGGTCTGTAAATCGCCTAAGTAGGCGGGCGGATACATTGTTGGAAACCACTCAACTTCGAAGAAATCTTAGAACGTCACGTTATTAGTTATATTATAAATATCCAGCAACGTGATCAGACTTGGTGGTGAAATTTTGTAAGTTCTACACGTTCCGGAAAAATCACGTTATTCGTCTATAAGATAAGTTAAATTAATCCCTCCACGACCGCGGACACGCCGGCGTGTCAGTTAACAATAGATTTCTTAGAAATGTAATTAATATTTTAGAAATTTACCTGGTGGTGTTATGAATAAAACATTTATTTACATAAATAAAAAATAAACCAACTGCGTAAAAAGCGAACTAAAAAGATGAAAAACAAATTGAAGGAAAAACATAGTATTATGCAGAGACTGCTGATATAATAATCTAATACGAGACCTTCATCTAATTAGATTGGCCAACAACAGGACGTGAAAAAACAATCTTAATTTGGCCAAAGCCAATTGATTAGCAGTACGCCATACGGTCGCCATATGCCATATGGGACGCGGCGGTCGGTCATTGGGAAAATACGTTCGTGCTGCAGCATAATCGTATGGACGATATCAATTTTATTATAAAACATAATAAAGTGTATAATTCACTATTATATACAACTAATAATACTAATAAATAGTTCCATATTCTATTGGAAATTAGATTAAAAAAACCGCATCAAAATCCGTTACGTAGTTTTAAAGATCTAACCATACATAGGGACAGACAGACAGCGGGAAGCGACTTTGTTTTAGATTATGTAGTGAAGAAATGAGGTGAAGAAATAACCAATAATTGTGTTTAGGTGTAATTATTATAGATGAAATAAATATACAAAAATGTAAATCGAATCTTAAATGCAATGCTTGAAAGTTGTTTTCACAAAAAATCAATCACTCAAATGAGCGCTCATTCGGTGAGGACATTTTTTGTCGCTGATTGTGTATCGATTATCTTTTTGATCAATGTTGAGACACATCCTTTATCATCATAGTTTAAATTTTATCTCATAACAACAATTTGCAAATACTTATGAGATTTACATAGAATTGGTCGTAGCAGATAAAACTCACTTAGCCTCTTGAATAATTTATAAACATCGGGTCCAAGGGGCATGTCGATTGTCGGTGTTTATTTGATAGAATATCTATTACCTTTTCTAAACGAAGTGAGAAGTGAGCAAGGACGACTTGCTTGTGATTTAAACATTAGAACTACATGACAATTTTTCCTAGCAATAATCTTATTTTTGAGTGTATCAAATGGCGTACATCGTTACTATACGATAAATAAAATTGAAGCTTTCACTGGCAGATAGCTGATGTTATATGGAGTAACTTGGGCTACTTTTATTCTAGAAAAAGAATTAGGGTTATGTACTTGCAAAAAATTAAAACCCATGAAATTTGATCAAAATTCGCGTACCTAGGGCGCTCCTTGAGCGAAGCGAGGTTTAATCAAATAGCTAAGTAATAAAATCTTATGTCATAATTTAGAGACAAGTAAAAATAGCGACAACTTTGTATTTGTCGTATCAACTAAGAAGAGTCAACTTTAACCTTTTGCGACGCTAGAGATAACCTCCGGCGACGTTTTTTTACTGAAATACGTAATAGAGCAATTTCCTTTTCAATGCAAAAATATTTATTTCTTTTATGCTTCGGAGATTAGCCCGTACAAACAGACAAACACAGAGAAACAAAAGTATTGAAAAAAAATCTGTATTTGTTCTATTTCTCTTCTCACATCCCCGTGATTCGTGTACCAGCCGGAATTGAATACCTCTACCTTTTGTAGTCTGTCAATAAAATATATCTTGACAGAATGGCGAATGCTAATTAAATACAAATTAAAGTAACAAGTGGCGAACAATACACGTTATCACACGCGATTATTAATTTTGTTTACAAGTTAATTAACTCCGGTACTAACATAACTAAAAGATTTTACTCCAACAGTCTACTCAAATAGTAAGGGCTTATGTGATACTTGCAAATTTATGAATGCAACATTGTTCTATACTAATAATATAAAGAGGCAGAGTTTGTTTGTTTGTACTATAGAGTACTATAGAGCAAAAGTCATATTAATAAAAAGTACATGTACGATGCAATGGTACAGAACCCTTCGTATTCGGACTCGACTCGCACTTGGAACTTTTTTTTTAATTAAATCAAAATACAGATAATAAAGAATAGATAGACGCCTTAAATCAACACTGTATACCTTTGTTAGCCAGCTATCAAAGTAATGTTATCAATGTCATGAACAAGGAAGTGTTAACGAATAGTATAGTATATGACTCAATGTCACTTTTAAGCCTTGTTTAAGGTGATATCAATTATCTAAATTACTAACAAAATTTTTACAACTATTATTCTTAGTCTATTCTAAAGATTTGATAGCTAAAAGTATAATTTCTATAATGATATTTATTTTTTATTTAAATACAAGTAGTGATTCACCTCATTTTGCTCAGGTGTGTCTTTAACTATGCAGGATTTTGTTCACAATTTCATGATTTTAATTTTTTAAAATTGCGCGGTATCCTAATCCTTTTTCTAAAATAAAAGTAGCCCAAGCTATTTCATATAACATCAGGCTACCCGCCAGTGAAAGTCCTGTCAAAATCGGTCCAGCCGTTTTGACGAAACTTTCACCAGACAGACAAAAATTTTAGAAGAATCAAATTGAAGTGCCTGTTTATAATGTCCAAATAACAGTTTTTTTACTTAATGAATATGAAATTGTAACAGTACTTATAGAAAAACATGACTTAAAATTTTTTACTGTTTGTTCCGGCTAATCCCCAAAATGGCTTGTCTGATTTTGACGGGACTTTCACTGGCAGATAGCTGAAGTTATAAGTTGTACCTTAGGATACTTGTTTTAGAAAAAAAATTAAGGTTCTGCTCAAAAAAATCAAAGCATACGTAAGAATGCACCCTAACAAAGCGAGGATAATTTGGTAGTCTTTTATATAAACCATATATTTTTACCTTTTGTTGTAAATCAAAATATAATATCTAAACATTTGAATTGTTAAGTTTGTTCCTATATTTAATTGTAAATTATTTTTACAGAATTATGTTTATAGTACATACATACAAATATTGTATTGTACTCTTAATGAGAGAGAATATGTACACTAAATGGCAACTTTTATATAAAGTAAATAATATGTTATAATGTTGTTGCAAGATGTTGATGCACATGTATAAGGAAAACAAGCAAATTCTAACAATTATTATACAGCTTGTTCTATATTGGTGTTAAAAGGAAATAAAATTATTATTATTATCACATAATGCAACTAATGATTTTAATTAACTTCAAATTACTAAAACATCTTACGTGAACTAGTTTATATACTTACCCTGAATATTATATTACCAAGAAGAAAGTTTTGGTTTATTTTGAAAACGAAATCACAGAAATATAGCAAATTTAATTATTATTCTTATTTATGGGTATACAATTAAAAAATGGAATGGAAAAACAAATGACAGACAATGCATTATTTTTAATCTGCCTAATTTGTTAATTGTGATCATAAACACACGGTAAATGCAAGTATTCAGGATATGACCTAGTTTGAACAATTTATGCCAACTATGGATTACTGCTCTGCAATCTATTGCCAAGTTGAAAATGCTCTTGTATAGGGGAGAATTCATGTTAATGTGCATAGCAATTCTTTTACATTATTTGGTCAATAATAAAGTTTATCTTCTAAAGTGATTCAACATCCTTCGAAAGAATGATTAATAAATAAACAAGTCAAATGTCCTAAGATTTCCTAATAGTTTTGTTAATAGCAACAGTCTAAGGCCTAGAAATTATGAAAATAAAAAATGTAGTTCTATACTATTTCACTTACCTCTTTTTCTGGTCTTGATCCGTTGACCCGATAATACTGGTTTTTCTACCTTCTGACTCATACAATATATTGCTGAAACAAACACACGTGGCAATTAGGATAATGCTAGGGGTCCGTTAGGCGTAACGTCAGGGGGTCATCGCCCGCTCTACCCTACACGTTATTACACTAAAATTTAGAATATTATATACCTAATGAAGGAGACGCCTACTTACTAAAAGGGCTAGCTAGCCGCCAAGAAAGATGAAACTGTCTTCTTTTAATACAACCCGAAAACACCTTTGCAATAGTATGACTCAGCAAGGACTTTGCAAATATCGCGTGATTCTCGTAATTCACCACAAAAAGGATAATCGACACGAATCTACGAAATTATACTTATGTGATATACACTGATACTCACATAGTTACAGGTTATGTAGGAGCCTTTTACTCCTTTTGCGAGTTCTCTCGGACTGCGCCTGTTCAGAAAAGAAAGAAACGCTGCTACGGTCTCTATTCCGTCGAGAGCTAGAGACAACGTGTATGGAGTCGCCGGATATCCGGTTAAGTAGGTCACAAATATCGATTTTTATGGGTTGCGTCAATTTTCTAAGCTAACAGACAATATTTAACAATTTCGTGTGACAATCAGAACTTACATTGAAATAGTATTTAGAATATAAAATTTTAATAATCGTAGAGTACTTTATTTAAATCCCAGGAAAGCCCTTCAATGGTAAATTTGGAAAAAATAATACACGTAGTATTGCGGTCTAAATGTATCTTAGATAAATTATTTTGATTTTAAAAAGATATAACGGTAATTTAATTAATTTAGGAATGCGGTTTAAGAAAATCTTAATTTGAAAGGAAAATATATGACTAAAAATGGCAGTAAAATAAATTTTCATAGACAAACTTTACTTTTAATCTTCAACATATGAGTTAAATTTTTTATGCCTAATACTTTAAATTTCTAAATTTAATTTTTGAAAGAAATATAAATTACACTTAATTTAGGTAGGTCGTTAGTTAATACTCACACTTATCTAATTTACGAGAAAACATTTTTTGTTACAATCAGTACATATTATTAATCTGTCAAACATTGATTTGACAGTTGACATATTTCATAAATTATCTTTTTGAGGTTATGTTTAGTAAAATTTCGTCATATTCAGAAAAAAAGTATAATTGAGATTATCTAAAATGAAAACTTAATCAAAAATAGCGTACGACCTATTACGTTTTCTTTATTTTCAGTGACATTACATATAACTTTCATAAATTTCCGATATGGCTAATTCGATACTAACTAAAGTAAGTTTATGTTTTTCATACGATAAATATTTTTCATACTGCTTTATTTGAGCATAGAAAGTATTAAATATTATTTATTTATCTCCTTATAAATAAAAATAGTACTCAATGTACTTATATAATGCTTAATTTATTTCTTTTTTCTATAGATTGGCCCAATATGGAAACTGCCATGTACTATACAACCTTCTCGCACTACTACTTCCAAGCATTTCAATCCGAAATACAAAAAAGCACGTGCGCAAAAATATATGAAAATAGATATTCCAGATATGAACGAGGATGAGAATATGAGTCCTGAAAAAGTTAGGCAGAAGATGAAGGAAAGAGGTTTAATGCCTCCTCGTCCGTGGATGGAGCGTCCCTTTTATATCGCGTCTACAGGTTTTAATATAAAATTGTGTGCTATGAATAAATTTTAAACTCTTATTAAAGTAATTACTAATCATCTCTAATTTTATAAGGTGGAGTCTTCGAACCATATGTGCCGCCAGAAGGTGATGGCAAAGCCTCATTTATCTCAACAACCAGGGCTAAACAAACTGTTGAATTACTAGAAAAGAAATCCAAGTCAATGATGGCTGTTCGTAAGATTAAATCGTTTGACGAAGACTTTGATACTACAGAGTTTAGTAAACAAGCTCAAAACATATATATTAAAGCACATGAATGTTTAGCAAACCGAGATAAGAGGACTTTGAGAAATTATGTGACAGAAAAAGCTTATCCCGAGTTTATGCATAATAGTTATATGAAAACTATCAGGTGGAAGTTTCTTGATTCTTTAGAGCCACCAAGAGTAGTGCATGCCAGATGCACTGATGTTGTTAGTAAAGAAAATATTTTTGGTCAGGTATGTTTAAAAGAATATATAATTAATTTAACTGTATTACATATTTTAATTGCTTACTGTTTTATGGATATATATTTTAATAAGAAACTAATACTAATACTCATCATATTTAGAAAGAAATCCAACAAGGTTGTATATGTGTATTATATATGTATGTATATAGAATATTGTCTAATGTACAAAATTTCAGACAATGACCTATAATTACTGAGTAATATTATTATATTATTAGTAACAATAAAGAAATTAATTTTGCAAAATAAACATCCATACTTAGTTAATTATATAAATGCGAAGTTGTTTGTTTGTCTGTCTGTCCTTCTTTCACATCAAAACAGAGTGACGTATTGGCGTGATCACGCCAATGGAGAGGGCTGGAGAGTGACTTACACCTCTAAATGACATATAGCCTACTTTTTACCTCAGGAGATTATCTAATTCCCACAGGAAAACACATTATGTATATTGCAATCCAAGAAATCATTTATGGTCAGAATTACTTGAAACTTGGTATTAATGCTCTTCAATACAATATAATAAATATGTGTTTCAGCATTTTTTAAAATTCATCCCATAAGGGGATGAAATAGGGGATGAAACCAAAATATTTTTTTAGAGTTGTATCACGAGCGAAGCCGCGAGTTCTGCTAGTATATAAACAAAAAAGAAAACAAAAGATAAACAAATACCAAAATATAATATTAACACATGTATGTACATTGAAATTGAGAATAATCTCTATAATATATATTATCTGATTTCGCATATAACATACTAGAACAGAACCCATGGCTTCGTTCGCGTTAGAACTACAAAAAAAAAAACAAATTGTTTGGCTTTATGTTATAAGTAATTAATATAAAAATACGACGAGAATTTTTAACTGGTAAACATAAAATATAATATACAGCACTACCTATGTACCTATGTATGAATGTGCATTACAAAGTACAAACTCATGAACAAATGACTGACTTTTCAAAAATCAGTATATTGTACCTATTTATACATTTCATTTTTCTTTCTTTATTTAATATTCTTTAAAACTCTTTTTACGTTTTTGGATTGTATTTTTTTTCTTCATTCATTTTACAGAAATCAACAAATCATCATGTTACGCCATCTATTGACTTTTATTTAAATTATTTTTTCTTTGTTTCTGATGAGACCCAATAATGAAATGTATACTTTTAGATAACTGTTCGCTTCCATACTCGTCAACAACTAGCTGTCTATGACAGGTTTGGTCGTCTCCTCCACGGCAGCGAGATCTTGGCAAAAGATGTGCTAGAATATATAGTTTTTGAGAAACATCTATCTAATTTGTATGGGGTTTGGAAAATACATGCTAAAATCATACCAGATTGGACACCACCAAAAGATCCTTCGAAATTAACTCGAGTTAAGCCGGAGCCCGAACCAGTGAAGGTTGAAGTTGAAGAAGAAGTGGAAAAGCCAGCCATAGCTGATAAGTGATTGTAAATGAATAAATATTGTAGTTATGTTAATTGTGTTTTATTTCTGCTATTTTCTACACTACAACTAGATTGCTTAGTATATATTAATAATACTAGATTTAATTTAACAACTAGATAAATAAATTTATGAATTTACAACATTGTTCAATTACATTGCTTATCTTTCTGTAAAATTACTGATCATATTCTGAAAAAAACACTTAATAGGAAGCTAAAGTATTAAAAATGTATTTACTGTCAGATATCATATTAACTCTAATTGAAGACAGAAAAAAAGCCATTGAGCCTCAACTCAAGTAACAATAGCATGTAAAGTATTATAGCCTATAAGCCGGGGGTCACCAAATGGCGGACCGCGGTCCGTATCCGGACCGCTGACCTATTTTGTGCAGACCTTAAGTAAATAGAACAATATAATTTACTTTTGTGACTTGAGTATGTAATTTAATAATTTATTTCGCTCTTTGTCTTTACTTCCGTCCATCCGACAACGGACGAGCGCGGAGCGAGAGATCATCAGTCGTCGAGGGAAGGGTGCGGCACAGTGAAGGCGGGGGTAAGCACTCGCTCACGCCGTCGCCGCCCGCGCTGGCAGTGTTTTGTTTTCATTTTGAGTGACGGACGCTAACACCACGTGCGCTAAATACGTTTCTTTGTCTACGCTACGAGTTTAGGCACATTTGCGAGTTATTGTTTACAATGGAACCGAAAAAAAGAAAGGTTGAAGTCGAAAATAGAAAGTTTTTGTCAGAATGGACCGATTTATATTGTTTTATGCTGCCAAATCGTTCTAGAGCAGTACCAATGTGCTTAATTTGTCAACAAACAGTGGCGTTAATTAAAAGCTCGAATATAAAAAGACATTATGAGACCAAGCACAGATCATTTGCCACAAAATTCCCAATTGGTATTAACCTGCGTAAATCTAAAATTGCAAGTTTATGGTCCAGCCACACACCTTAATCCCAGATCATGAGTCGTTCAATGACTGAACAGGAGAAATGTGGTGAGGCTTCTTTACGTATTTCTTGGACTCTTGCTAAGCATATGAAACCATTTACCGATGCTGACATAGTAAAAGAATGCATGCTCGCGGCAGGCAATGTTTTGTTTGAGAACAGAAAAGATGTTGTTGAAACTATTCGGCGAATTCCGTTATCAGCGTCTACTAACTCAAGAAATACACATGTTTTGGCAGAAGAAAATCATTGCGATGTGAAACGGCAGTTAAAAAATTGTCTATAGATGAATCATGCGATATTACTGATAAAGCACAACTGGTTATTTTTGTACGGTACTTGGACAAATTGAGAGACACTTTTGTTGAGGAGCTATTAGTTATTTTGCCGTTAATTGGAAGAACACGAGGAGAAAACATGAGCAACGCGGTGATGGATTATTTCGATAAAGATGATTTAGACTTGAAAAAGCTTTTGTCTGTAACTACCGACGGTGCACCAGCGATGGTTGGGGCCAAAAAAGGACTAGTTCACCTATTGAGAACCAATGCAAAATGTAATGAAAATTTGTTTTCTTACCACTGTATCATACATAAAACTGTGCTTTGCTGCAAACTCAATCCTAATCTTGAGAGTATTATGCAAGAAGTGATCAAAATAATAAATTTTCTTCGTGCAAAATCATCACTGAAACATCGTGAATTAAAAATATTTCTTGACGAAGTTGATGCACAATATGACGATCTATTGTTGCATAATAATGTGAGATGGTTAAGCAAAGGCTGCGTTTTACAACGATTCTTCGCCATTTTAGAAGACTTGAAGACATTTCTGTTCAACTTTGATCAGATTTTGACAAACACCTACTAACCTTTTCTAAACGATAAAGAAAATTTAGCTTCTATCGCTTTCTTATCGGATATTTTTAAACATATCAATGATCTGAACGTTAAACTTCAAGGCAAAGGAAAGCTTGTATGGGAGCTTCTGACAGAAGTAAAAAGCTTTTCGCGAAAACTCGATTTATTTAATAACGATCTTGATAATGAACGCTTGCACTTTCCTAATTTAAAAAAATAATCCGCAGTGACAATGAGATTGACGTCGGCCAATATAAGACATTTATTCAGGATCTTAAATCGGAATTCAAAAACAGATTTGTAGATTTTAAGAAAATTGTGAATGTCGTGGAAATCCTCAGCAACATTTACTCCCTGCATCCTGATGGTGAATGGAGCAATGAAGCTAAAAATGTTTTCGGGAGTAACAAAGCTACTCTACAGATGGAAATTATCGATTTCCAAGAAAATTTAAAAAGTCACAAAAATACGGCAGTTTCGTGTGAAGACTTTTGGGTAAAATTTGTGTGTGGGAATAAATACCCAGAATTAAAAAAAATAGCCTTGAAACTACTTACTTTGTTTGGGTCAACGTATACATGTGAAGCTGCATTTTCCAAGATGAATTTTATTAAAAATAAATTTCGGAGTAGACTTACCGAAGAACATCTCCAAGATTTAATGACAATAGCCTGCACTAACTTTAGTCCAAACTTCGAACGGATAGTTTGATACAGATAATGATAGAACCAAATAGAATATTGGCTTTATTCAACAATAAAATAAGACATAGTAAATAATTAGGTATTGACAATTTGATAGTATAACACTGTTGACAATGTCATAATATTATCTAATATTATAAAGAAGATAATTAAATAACATGTGACCTTCATACTTAACAAGGAGATCACATCATTCACCCCCCCCCCCCCCCCTTTTATGAAGAGACGTAATCTTGAAAGTGGGCCGGAGGTTTGCGTTCTCGAACAGAGCGACGAACTTGTGTACCCTCCACTTCTGGGCTAGCAGGTGGAGCTTCGTTGGAAGGGACCTCCTCCATTTCTAATTGCTCTTCATCGTCCGACGAGTCGTCGTCAACGACCTGTGGCAGTGGCGCTAAGGATCTATTAGAGACTGTAGTTTCTCGCCCATCCGCTAATCGAACGTAAGAATATTCAGGATTGCTTTGTAACAGCTGTACCTCTTCTACAGCCGGGTCATATTTTGAACTCCTTACGTTCTTCTTTATATAAACAGGTCCAGGTGAATGAAGCCAAGTTGGTAAAGATTGGCCGTTTATCGAGCGACGAGGATGGTTGAACATACGCTCATGAGGCGTTGCATTCGTTCCCGTACATAAAAGGGATCTTATAGAATGTAACGCTGGCAGCAAAGCTTTCTCCCAGTTAGCAACGTCTTCGTTGTTCGATCTGAGATGTAATTGAATTGTTCGCCACAGCGTACCATTAAGCCTCTCTACCAAACCGTTTCCTTGGGGATTGTAAGGGGTGGTGCGACTGCAAGATGTTCCGAGTGAGGTTAAGAAATGTCTTATTTCATCTGATAAAAATGAACTTCCTCTATCGGAATGGATATAAGCCGGAGTACCAAACGTGGAGAATAAATCTTTAAGGCAACTTATGACTGTTCCTGAGGTCATATCTTTACAGGCATACGCAAACGGAAAACGGCTATATTCATCGATTATTGTTAAAATGTATCGGTTTTGAGTGTTAGATGGAATCGGCCCTTTAAAATCTAAGTTTAGTCTTTCGAAAGGTGCAGTTGCCTTTATGAGATGCCCTTGGTGTTTTATATAACGAGGTTTGATTTCAGCACAGATAGGACATGCTGCCGTCATTCGTTTCACTTCTTCGATGGAGTATGGTAAGTTCTTCGATCTGACCCAATGAACCATACGTGCAATTCCAGGATGGCAAAGAGATCGGTGTAGTTCAACAAGTTTGGAGTTATTAGACAAACTATCTATGTGCATGCAGACTCGAGAGAGCGCATCGGCAGCAAAGTTCTGTTTTCCGGGTCGATAAACAATGTCGTATTTAAAACAAGACAATTCTAGACGCCATCTCTCTATCTTTTCGTTCTTGATCTTATTAGAGTGTGTTTGGTTGAACATAAATGCAACAGACCGTTGATCAGTTACGAGTAGAAAATGTCTTCCAATCAAGAAGTGTCTCCATTTGCGTAAAGCTTCAACTATAGCGCAAGCCTCCTTTTCAATGGAAGGTTGTCTTTTCTCAGAATCGTTAAGTGAACGTGAGAAGAACGCTACGGGACGTCCTTTCTGTGACAGCGTTGCTGCGATTGCGAAGTCAGAGGCGTCAGTTTCAACAGAAAATATCTCTTTGTCGTCTATTCCAGCCAAGGCCGATTTAGAAATGTCAATCTTTAGATTGTTAAAAGAGTTAATAGCCTCTTCAGATAAAGGAAATGTAGCTTCGATCAGAGGTCTGATTTTGGCAGAAAAGTTGTCGACCCACTTTGAATAATGAGCAAATAGTCCAAGGGCTCTTTTCAAAGTAGCTGTATCAGATGGGATAGGAAGATTTGTTAGTGGTTCCAATCGAGACTTGTCAGGTTTGATTACGTTATGACTGATGGTATAGCCGAGAAGATTTATGGAATCTGATTCAAAAGTGCATTTACTCATATTTAGAGTGAGTTTATATTTCTCAGTAGCTTTCATGAATTTGCGAAGGTTATCATCATGATCCTGCTTATCTTTTCCGCATACAGTCACATCGTCTAAGTAAGCATATGTACCTTTCAGTTTTTCCGAATCAATGATATACTGTAAAGTTCGCTGGAAAGCCGCCACACCATTTGTGACTCCAAATGGTATTCGTGTGAATTGGTAGAGATTCCCGCACGCTTCGAAGGCTGTGTATACCTTCTCCTTTGGAAGAATGGGAACTTGGTGATAAGCACTTTTGAGGTCGATTTGGCTATAAAGATTGTATTTAGCGACTTGAGTTATAATAGAATCGATGGTAGGTAAAGGATATGCATCTAGTTCCGTGAATCTATTTATAGTTTGAGAATAGTCAATGACAAGACGCTTCCGATGATAGTCATCACCAGTAACGAGTACTTGTGCCCTCCAAGGCGAGATACTGGGTTCGATAACCTTGTCTTTAAGTAAGTTGCTTATTTCGTTAGATATAAATTCTTGGTCTTCCTGAGAATGCCGTCTGGAGCGAATAGCTATAGGTTTTATATTTGGTGAAAGATTAGTAAAAATTGAAGCTGGTGGGACAGATGCCTCCAGTACATTGCAAACTTTCAAGGGCCCTTTGTCTCCCCCGAACTGAAGTTCAAATGATGAGTGTTTTCCTAATATATCATGCCCAATGATAACGTCAGCACACAGATCGCCAACAATGAGCAGAGGTTGATGCTGGTATATATGTTCACCAATCTGAATTGTAGCGTAGCATAGTCCCTCAACATATGATATATTGTTAAGAGATGCTAAAGTTATCGCTTGTCGACAGGGCTTTCGTTTAAGGTTCATGGTTAGAGCAGTATTCTTATCGATAAAGCTGATTGAACTTCCGGTGTCAAGTAGCGCATCTGCTTGATAGTTGTTCAAGGTAATTGGAATGGTAGCTTTACGTAGACTTGATGGCGCAGCAGCGGATATCATTGACAAATGAGAATCAGTAACTTGAGGTTGAGTAACGTCGTCATCGTCCATGGTAATAACATTTACGGTACGTTGACCTGGTCTTGAACTACGGCAAACAGTTGCAAAATGTCCTTTTTTGGAGCAAAGTTGACATTGGGCATTATTAGCGGGACACTTGGTTCTTTTATGAACATTGCCACCGCAGAAAAAGCATCGGCGGTCACTTTGCGTAGGGCGACTGTGATGAAAATTTTGAGGTTTTGATGCTGCCAAGTTGAGCTGTGGTTGCGATGCTTGAGTTTCAGAGATCGTGTTAATAGGAACAGCAGACGTTGATGGAGATGATACTGTTAGTAGTCGTGAAGTATTTTCAGCAGTTTCTAAAGATGTAGCCAGATTCAATGTTTCTTCCAGAGACATAGTAGATTTTTCTAGCAACCTTTCTCTTATTTTCTGAGACAATATTCCGGCAATGAACGTACCACGTACGGTTTCGTTTTGGTGTTCATTAGCAGTAACAGCTTTGAAGTGACATTCACGAGCAAGTATGGCAAGAGATCTCGAATACTCTGCTAACGTTTCGCCAGGCTGTTGCTTTCTAGTAACGAGGCGATGCCGAGCCAAGATAATATTTTTTTGTTTTTCATAGGTGGTACTGAGAGTGGTCATGGCATCGACGTACGTGGTGCAAGCTTGAATGAAGTTAAATATTGATGGCGAGATATGGTTTACAAGGAGTTTGTACTTAAGAGCATCATCAGCCGAAGCGGCTTCCTGTGCGATAAAATTTTCAAATGAGTACTTCCAATGAATCCATTTCAAGTCTGAGTCGGCCATTGCGGGTTCCACGTCAAAACGTTCAGGACGCAGATACCGAGATATTGAGAAAGACTTTTCCTTTTCGTCAGGCATAGTTGGTATCAGTGATACACAAAATTATTGTTGAATAAATTGATACAGATAATGATAGAACCAAATAGAATATTGGCTTTATTCAACAATAAAATAAGACATAGTAAATAATTAGGTATTGACAATTTGATAGTATAACACTGTTGACAATGTCATAATATTATCTAATATTATAAAGAAGATAATTAAATAACATGTGACCTTCATACTTAACAAGGAGATCACATCATAGTTCAAGGGAAAAAATGTCATTTTTCACATTAATATTTGATAAAACCTTAGTTGTTCTTAATTTTGTTGATTAAATTTGTTTATTATAATTAAATAACATTCAGCTATCCTTTCGTTTTATTTCTTCATTGATATTGTATCTATATTTACATATTTAAGTTTACTATTTTAAATTTTACAAAATAAAATACATGTGATGATTTTCGGGAGGGGGGAGGGGAGGGAGGGGGCGGTGTATGGGGGGGTCTTTAAACCTTGTGGACCGCGACAGTCATATTATTTTAAAAAACGGACCTCGGATGAAAGTAATTGGTGACCCCTGCTATAAGCTATCGTTACGTAAGGGACACGTCCTAGTGCGCTTGTATCGTTTTAAGTAAAATGGCCAACTAAACAGATTTGAAAATCTGTTTAGTTGGCCATTTTCCATATTTCAGTTTCATTTGCAGTTTCCATATTTTTGATCTTTGTAGATTATTTCGCGGATTTATTTTGATTTTGGTAGCCGACGTTGCTGTAAAGCATTCGAATCGTCGGTAACCAAAAATCAAAATAGATCTGCGAAATAATCCGAAAAGATGGTGTTATTTTAAAATGTAAAGAAAGTATTAAATAGATTTTATTTGTTATTGCACAGATAAAGATGCCCAAATTAATAATTATATACGCAGAATTTGGACATCTATAACTCGGAATATTTTTGAACAAGCTAACGCTTGAATAGACAATAGATGTCGTTGATCCGCAAACTGACAACTATTTTATTTCATAAATATTTTATTATAATATGTAATAAAACATGTTAAATGAAGCATAATTCGTGCTGTGTTTAATTATTAACTAAACATTTTTTTTTCATTGTAATAAATAAAATTTATTGTGAAGTAAAAACGCCATCTATGAATATGCCCCTGCAAATCCTTTATGTAATTACTGATTTTTCAAATAACAATCAAAAAAACAACGCAGTTTTAACGAACAAATTACTTTGATTTCCTTTTCAAAAAGCAAAGTACGCACGCCTTTTGGGATCTATTTTCTTTTCTTTTTTTAAATTTACATAAACGTCAATACCAAACCGATTCTTAAAATGCCATCTATTGACATTTATTTAAACTTGTAATTTTTATTTATTCCTCATTTGCGTTTTCCGAATTGGACTGAGAAGTTCCATGTTTTCTAATACAATAAATGGTATAAGCTAAAAATTATATATAAATAGTCTACTTTAAGAAGAGATTACTGAGACGTTAGTCTTAAATATTTTTTAAATGAAGTAGTACTAATAGTTCAAAGGAAATTTTGAGTTTTTGTAATAAAATAATAAAATACATGTTATACAGGTTTATTTCATATCATATCAATAACTCTGAGCTTCACATTGTCAAACATTATAATAAATTAATTAACTTAAAACTAGTTAAATGTACACTCATCATCAGTGTAGTTGCCATTTTAATAGTAATTTAATACAAAAGGCGGCGAATTAATTTCACAATTTAAGTTTGACTTTCATTTATACTTGTTTTATCAATTATCAGATAAAATAGAAACAAATAATAAATGTTAGATGATTTTTTTATTATTTCTCTTTTTTATTGTTCAATGAATAACTTTTATCTTATAATTGAAAAATCAGCCCTTAACTTGACTTACAATTAATTAATATAAATGATTCTGAAACAATTTTCATTATATTCAGTGAAATGAGTTTTTAAATGCAGTTCTTATGTTGTCAAAATAGTTTATTATTTGAGAATTGTTTATATTTTTAGAAATACAAAATTTATAAGATCTTTTTCATTAAATTATATTTACATTTATATACATAGTTAGTAACTTACTTTAACCATATATATTATTATTTAGTAAAGTATATAATACTTTTAAGTAAATGCGAAATAATTTAACATGGAGATTAGAATGAGTGATATTATATTACAAATGGACGAGATTGCTCTTAAAATTAGGTCTTTAGGTGCCTTATACATAATAAAGTAAGATCTTTCATACATTTCAGTATTTTATTCACATATCGAAATCAGCCTTCAAAGGATATTCATAATTTTTCATGAAAATAACTCACTCAAAACACAACCTTTGTGAAAGCATGTCATTTCTCTTGTACAATTGTCATCAATAGAAACGAGATAAAATAAATTCTCATTTGTGTGTCAGTCTATTATTTATTTGACCTTGTATGTACTAGTTAGAAATAACTTACAGCAGCTGTAAAACTATTTTCAGATTCTCTTGGCTATCTACTGTTAATTTATCACAAGCGTTTTACGCTTTATTTATTAAGAAAAAAAATTAATGCCGCACCACACGGTCCTTTTTGTTCAAAAAGTAAATTGAGCGCTGTAAAGCGCTGTACGCATTCACTGCGTGTTTTTTTAATAAATTCCAGCGCTTTCTGCTTGAATGGGACATATTAAAGCCGTATCACACGGTATCGAGCGTGGATCCACCGCACGTGGGGGTGTTCAGACGACGGTGGGCGCGGAGCGCTGGGCGGGTTTGGGCGGCAGCGGCGGCGGGGTGCGCGTCTGTAGCCTCTGTCTTTGCGTTTCGCGGAGATTCTCGAGGAAATCTGCTATGAAGATTACTTATTTAGTATTAAGTTATTAAATATAGGTGTATAAAGGCAGTGGTAGCCTTGTGGTAACGCGATCGCTTGGGAAATCTAGTGAAGCAGGTTCAAATCCCGGGTTTCGCACCTCTGATATTTTCATGTGCGAATAATTTCTAACATTATTACCACTTGTTTTAATGGTGAAGGAAAACATCGTGAGGAAACCTGCATGTCTGAGAGAACTTAACAAGTTTTGGAAAGACATGTGAAGTCCGCCAACCGGCACTTGGCCAGCGTGGTGGACTATGGGCTTGGTCCCCCTCGTATTGAAGGGAGGCCAGTGCCCAGCAGTGGGAAGTTAAAAAGGGCTGAATACATACATGAAGGTATTATAATAAATTAATAAGGATTGATAAGTTAATATCATATAAGACGTGTCCACTAACCGGGCGGGTGGTGCAGCGGCGCGCCGGGCCGCAGCGCCGCGCGCACGCGCGCCGCCTCCGCGCCGCTCGACGCGCTCGACGCGCTCTAAGTACATACATATATATGTTATTCATCTATAAAAATCCATGTTCTTTGTCTAAAAAAAAATATTATTTTTACATAACATGGCGTTACTAGGTGCTTTCTAAATGTATATAAGGTTATATGTAAGGTGTTCAAAAGTTATGTCATTAAATTTCAAATTGAGTTAAATATACGAGTGTTATCAACGGTTAGATATAGAATTTAATTTCTAACAACATGTTTATTTTAAAATTTTGTGTGTGTTGGTTTGTGAAACTTTTGCCAAAACCGATCAGCAGTATGGTAGACGTACTGCGCCGACCCCAAGTTATTTGGGAAATGGGTTATGGGCAGGATAATGATGATGTTTATTTTAGAAAAGTTTATATGTGTACTATTCAGTAGGCACCAACCTGTGCGTCGTCGTTGTCGTCGTGTCGCAGCGCCACGTCGCTGAGCGAGTCGGCGTCGTCGTCGCGGGGCTCGGGCGCCGCGCCCGCCACCTCCACCACCTGCACGCGCATGCCGTCCAGCTCCTGGGAGAATATTAAATATTCATTTTTATTTATTTTTTAGACCACCAACAGAGTACAAAGTAAACACATTATATAACTTACACGGAAAATAAAATAGATAGAGTAGTACCTTAAGTGTAGATGATATCGACATTCAAAAAAAAAGTACATATATGTAAAGGCAAAGCAACATCTCGAATATTTATTTTAATTAATTTAATAAACTGATAGATTACGACTTTAAGTAACATACATGTTAATTAGTTATAAGGTGAGTGGATGCAACATTGGTTTATCATTCACGTCGTCATTATCGGGGATGTTATGGATAAGGAGGGAGGGGATGTCGGGCTCGCTTGAGTTTTTGTTGCCAGTTTTTCTCAGGTCCGAGGCTTCTTCTTTCCGAACTGGTAGTAGACTCATGACGTTCAGTACAAAATGTAATAATTTAATGCTGAATAAAATACTTTGCATTTGAATTTGGGGTTGGAGAGAAAGAGAGAGACGGCGGTCGCCGACGTACCTGCACGAGGGTGTCGGGGTGCACGGGCACGCCGGCCAGCAGCACGGCGTGCGGCGGCGCGGGCGCGGCGCAGTAGCGCTGCAGCACGGGGCGCAGCACGTGGCGCAGGCGGCGCGCCGGCCGGCAGCGCACGGCCACGCAGCGCGCGCCCAGCGCCACGCGCACCACGCAGCGCCGCTCCACCGCCACGCAGCGCCCGCCCAGCGCGCTCGACGGCGCCTGCACGTCCACGCACGCGCCCGACCCCTGCGCCGACCACACAGGTTATCATTTAATTATAATAAACTCCTCAAATTATATATAACACTGACTTGCTTCCCGATACAAACTATTATCCACATTTTCACTCCCTTAAGGGGTGATTTGCGGAATGAAAATATCTATATATATAATAATATCCTTCCCGGGGACTCGAACTATCGTCTTACCAAATTTCATCTAAATCGGCTCAGTAGACCCCTCTGGGTCTACTGAGCCGATTACACCATACTCCCTACAACGTCACAAACTCACAAACTTTACCTCTTTACCATTAATATCAAATACACACTATGATATTTATAATAAAAAGAAAATACTAAAAATAACATAAGAAATTAAATTATATAGTTTTCGCTATTTTTTTATTATTTACACATATAAATAAACATTTTTTTTTCATTTAATTAACCTAAATATTGTTATAAACAAAAACCTAAATAAAGAGCAAACCCCCATACCTGTTCCCCGTCGTTGAGCACGACGTCGTAGGCGCCGCAGAGCAGGTTGCGGCGCTGCAGCAGGCGGTCCACCAGGCGCCGCACGCTGGCGCCCGCGTCCACCGGCACCACGGACGTGGCGCCGTCGGGCAGCACCACGCGGCACAGCGAGCACTGCCCGCTCACCGACTGGCTCGTCTTCACCACCTGGTGTACGACATACATTATACATACTAATGTTATATATGCGAAACTAACTCCGTCTCTCTCTCTATCTGTTACACGTTTTTCACGCTTAATCACCTGAAATGATATAGATGAAATTTGATATGGAAACAGTTTGAGAGCCTAAAAAGGACATAAGGATAGTTTTATCCCGGAAATTATCCCTAAAGGGGTGAAAATGGGGATGGAAATGACTTAATTGTGCCTAACATATTTTACTATCGATTTATCCTCACTTTGCTTAGATACTCCCTTAGGTGCCGTCCGTACCTGACAGGTTATATATTACTCCAGATTTTAGGTCTTTGTATGTGTACAAAATTTCATCTAAATCCGTTTGTTTGTGAGGTTAAAGTGGAATTACTATCAAAATATAATAAAATAATTTAAGTTTAATTTGTTCCAAGTTATTCAACAATCCGAGTAACTTTTCTAAAAATAACCCGTAATCGCTATTAAGAATATTAAGAACAATAAAAGAGCAATTTAGCCAAATCGATCACGTGATGCGTTTACCAACAAACAGTATTTCATTTTCTATCAACAAATTTGATCTGACATATCAAATTTCTATGTGCTGGATGTTCTATACATATAATAAAATTGTAACTAAGCCGAATCTGTACATTAAATATTTTTTGGAAAATCTTATTAAAATCAACATTATTATCCATATATAGAGGCCGAATCTATAGTTTTTAGAATTTTTGTCTGTCTGTCTGTCTGTCTATTATCACATCACAGAAAAACCACTGGACAGATTTTGATGAAATTTGGTATGGTGATAGCTGGTTATCCTGGTCAACATAAAGGATACTTTATACCGCGGGAAAATACCTCATTTTTGAGAAAAAAAATACAAAAACTGCAATGTAAGAGTATACTAATATGTAAAACCTAAAATGGTTTTTGGTCATCTGAACGGGGCGGAGCCGCGGGCAATGTTAGTGTTACATAAGTATGTATAGCACTCCCCATTACTTATCATATTATCTTATGCTATGTGCTTAATTTACACAAGAGAAATCTATTTTTAAAACGCTTAAACATCCATTTGTGTACTCTGATTTAACCTTGAAACCCACAAAACAAAGCCAATTAGCAGAGCATTTACTTATATTGCATTAGATAGTACATTTTAAGTTAAATTACGCCTAAACCTCATATAGAGGACTATTTGAGATCTTGCATTGATAAGATAAGGTACCAAAATATAACATTTATCATGTAATTCAAACAAAAGGCGTGTCGCGGTTATTTCTGTCGGTACATCTAATTTGCTTAATCATAGATAATACTCGAGGAATATTTTATTATTTGTAAAACCAAAATAGACCAAACTAACTTGGTCATGCGTATTATGTATTTTTACCGAGCTTAAAATGAATTAATGCTGCTTTAAACGCCATGATAATAAATGTTAAGTTAAACAATGAATACTAACAAAACGATGTATTAGAGAAGTATGTCGTACCGTTTGACTGAGTGGTAGCGTGTCTACTTCGTAATTATACTGTTTTTCTATGTATTGTATTGAATTCAACCCTATTTAACGTCCCACTGCTGGGTACAGAATTCCCTTAAATACAAGGGGGATCAGGCATCAGGCAGAGATCATAGTTCCTTCACCGCGAGGCAAGTAGTAATCATGTTGGAAATGATTAGCACATGAAAATATCAGAGGTGCGAGACACGGGATTTGAACCCACTTCACAGCTTCACTCGGTTTCCCAAGCGAGGGCGTCCCCACTGCGCTACCACTGCCTAGAAATGTTAATATTATGACTTATAAATGTATATATACTATACTGTACAATTTTAATCGATTCTAAGTGACTAAAATTTAATAACATCTTATTCACACTGTGCTAAATATTATTAGAAAATATAAATCATAGAAAATATAAATATAATCAAATTACGCGTACCAAAACACTAAAATTATACAAAATTGTAGCTAAATAATAAAAGATTTTTTTATGATGTAAATTATAAAGAAAATTTTGACTTCCACATATTTACATATAATTGAATAGTCAATAAAACGTTCGTGGAAATCGAACTGACGACCCTACACAATACGTTAACATGCTGCCATTGCGCATATTTCATATTCAACTGAACTAGTCTGAAGCAGATTCATTAAATATTGACACACGCCCGAGATTTTCCACGCAACGACACTTCATTATTACACAATACCTACTCGTGAATATGCTAGTTTTAATACTGCTTTACAGTTATCATACACTTGTTGTTGCACGCGACTTCGTACGAGGTTTCCTTTTATCTATACATATAATAAAATTCTAACGGTTTCGAATCTGTACATTAAATATATTTTGGAAAATCTCATTGAAATAGTCTTTAATATCGATACAGAGGCCGACTGTATAGTTGTTAGAATTTTTGTCTGTCTGTCTGTTTGTGGCCGCATCACGAGAAAACCACGGGACAGATTTTGATAAAATTCGGTATGATGATAGCTGGTTATCCGGGTCAACATATAGGATAATTTTTACTTCGGGAAAATATCTCACCTCTAAGATAGGTACTAAACGTTAAAATGTAGTTGCTACTTATATATATATAAATAAAAAAATATACCTACTACTTTATGAGAAAATTGAGGGCAAAGTGCTTTTGTAAGTAGAGTCTTACAATAATATGAAATTGATTGTTTCATTATTTTAAATATGACACTATTAAAATGTCAAAGTTTGTATGCGTGTGTATGTTTGGTACTTTCACGCCGAAACGGCTAGACTGATTTGGATGAAATTTAGTACACAGATAGATTATGACCTGGTATAATACATAGGCTTATGTTAGAAATAAAATTTGCCTAAGAGTGGCGTTACTTGTATATAACATAAACATACATACAATAACCACCTAAAACGTAGACAAGTAAAGTTAGAGTAAGTCACTGCTAAGTTTTGTAGCCTGAATTTTTACATATACATAAAAATGAATGGTAGAAATAAATATTTATAATAAATTATTATTTTTCCCATTTTCTTTTAAGAATTAGACGAATTGTAACAAACACATTAAAATCTATAATAAAAAATACTATAATTTGATTTCCTTACATCAGTCATATTGTGGTCTTCGTTATTCGAGGTTGTCGAGACAGTCCTATCTCTGGACGCCGTCCTTCCTTTCCACGGTAAGAGGGACCCGCTCCGCCGACGCTCCGACGCGTTAGATGCTGATTTCTTTAACTGCAAGTAATATTACCTATTATTACTGGATATTACGCATGGTTACCGGACATTACATATGATTACCAGATATTACTTATGATTACTAGTTATTACTTAGTATTATAGTAAAATATTATTATATTTTATAGATATAACGTATTAATAGTTATTTTTTCTTATAATTACATATACTGAAATATTAAAAAACTGAAAAATATTAAATAATTTTCGTTCAATTTATTTTCAAATCGTTAAATATTTGAAAAAGATTTTCACTCATTACTTATAGAAATACAAACAATGACATGCATAAGATAATTCAAATTAAACATATTAGCTGCAATTTGCAGCACAAACTGTACAATGTATTTAGAGTGAATCATTGGTACTGTAGCGGTTTGCACGGTTGTGCAATATTTTTCTATATTATGGTTAAAACTCGTATGTACAGCAAAATATATACATATCTTTTTTTTCAGATGACGGAAAAGAACTTCAAAAAAAAGTTTTGATTGTATTTATATATGAATGGTAGTCTATAAACATTCAAAGTATTCTAGGTGTGCCGTCGGCTGTGATTTATGGTAAGAAAGCGAAAGGGTGGCTTCAGTGCTATAACATCAAAACTTTTCACCATGAAAATTGTTATATTTGACAATCCTTGCATTTGACAAAATTTGAGAGTAAAAATAAAGAATAGAGAGTGCACGTTATGTCTACGTACACACAGACACCCGTTGCACTATAATATGTCTTGCAGTTGGCTAGTCTCAGTGAGATTATCCGCGGTGGCCGATATCGGTCGGGAGGACGTTACCTTGGGCGTTTCGGGCTCTCCGGGCGGGTGTGGGGCGTAGGGCGGCGGCAGGCCGCGCAGGTCGGCGCGCGCGCACTCCGCGTGCACGCCCGAGCGCAGAAAGCGCGGGTAGCTGTCGAACTTCATCACGTTGAAGATCTGCTTCTGGGCCTGCATTTATAATGTACAATCGACGATTCAATATATATCTTGATTTGATTCAAGTAGCATTCAATTAAGGTTTAATGATGGAGTTACATATGTGTTTTGAAGTTTGTACTTATATCATTCAAGAAAATTGGATAATAGAATTATGTGTTTTATTTCACTGTTTAATACTATATGTAAGGAAACTACATTTTTGAAACATGCAAATTAAAATAATGGTAAATCTTTCAAAAATTTTAAACAATTTGATTGTTACAAAATTTGGATGCGAAATATTTTTTCAATTAAAGTACTTTCAATCCCAAAAATCTAATGTACTCAAAACAGACCCCTAAAGTAAAAAGTACGCCATTTTACCTAAATATTATTATACGCTACCCAAACAAACATATTCATAGAGTAACAATTTTGTAATCTTGTTAGAAACTTATGACAATACCTGAGTGAACAGATCCTGTGGCGGCGGCACCTGGTGCAGCCGCAGGGCGGCCGCGCGCCGCGCCGCCGCGTCCACGTTCACGGGCTCCGAGGCGCCCTCTGCCAGGTGCCGCTGGTATATGTCCATCGCGAGGGGGCCTCGCTTCTCGTCCTCATCGCAGCACCTGTACTGCTCGCAGGACCACCAGAATCTGGAAGGGAGGTGATGTTGCTTTATATTTATTTACATATTCAAATTTTTCAGTGCAGTTTATTGAAATTCTCAATAAATAGATTTAAACGAACATATAGGCCTACACTTACATATCTTATCGACACGTCGACCACGAAGCAATGGTTAAGAGCTAAGTTTAAATAAAGCACTACAATTAAAGTTTATAAATTGATTAGCTGTAATAAATATTACCTAAACTTTAAACTAGTGCAAATATCACAAATTTGCCAATATCTTAACATCAACAAAAACCTAATAACATGTTACCCAAAATATAAAATTGTATTCAGCCCTTTTTGCCGCCCCGTTGCTGGGCACGGTGTCCCTTCAATACGAGGGGGATCAGACCATAGTCTACTACGCTGGCCAAGTGCGGGTTGGCACATCTCATAAAACTCACCTAATATTTTCGGCCGCAAACTCTTTGGACAAGAAGTGCGCGAAGGCGGCGGCGCCGGCGGGGTCTGCCAGCAGCTGCTCTAGGCCCAAGGACCAGCGCGCCACGCCGCCGCAGCTCCCGTTGCTGCCCTGCACCGGCACCGAACCTTCGCTCATTTGCTGCTGGCAACATACATTTATATCATTTCTTATGTTCTATTGGAATTTGAAAGTCTTTTATATATAATCACTTTATTGATACGTTTTAACAGTTAGTATGGATATCCCACGGGAACCATAATTTTTTCCGACATTAAAACCTATGTGCTATTCCAGGCTATAATCTATTTCTGTGCCAAATTTCATCTACATCTGTTCAGCCGTTTTGGCGTGATTGAGTAACAAACATCCATCCATCCAAACTTTCATATAGAAATTATTTAAGAAACCGAGTAATTCAGTTTTGACTTGAATTAACAGTATACTGTGTGTTTAAAAGAAGAAAAATACTGTATGAATTCCTAAATAATTACATAGATATGCAGACAATATTAAACAAATCGTTTAATCCACGAATATATTTACATCGATGCTTATTTACCTTATTATGGCTTGAGAAATCTGTCAAGTCATTACATAAAATATGGGAAAAACTGTATTGCCATGTTAAATATAACATCGATTTAAATGAGTCGCACATCTTAGATAATAATTATTATAAATAATGTAACAATTAACAAAACTAACATAAATGGCAATGTTTGCGCAAGAACAATGCACCGCAGTCTAATCATAAATTGAGTGTCATCCTTTGCAGTGATTTTACATTATACATTTGTACTAGCATTGCCCGCGGCTCCGCCCGCGTTCAAATGACCAAAAACCAAATTCTTAGGTTTTACATATTAGTATACTCTTACATTGCAGAATTTGTATTTTTTTTTCTCAAAAATGAGATAAGTATTTTCCCGCGGTAAAAAGTACTCTATATGTTGACCCGAATAACCAGCTATCACCATACCAAATTTCATCAAAATCGCTTCAGTGGTTTTTCTGTGATGCGGTAACAGACAGACAAAAATTCTAAAAACTATAGATTCGGCCTTTGTATCGATAATAATGTTCATTTCAATAAAAATTTCCAAAAAATATTTAATGTACAGATTCGGTTTAGTTAGAATTTTATTATATGTATAGATAATATTTATCATAAACCCTATATTATTAATATTTATCATACCTACTCTTTATTCTATATGCATTTACTTGGACCTTTAGGATATGTAAGACAACTTTGTCTCTAATTAAAGAGTTTTAAACCTAAATTGAGGTCTTAGAGGCAAAGAAATGGTTCTTTTAAGTATTATTACAGTGGATACAATCGTTTCTAATATTTTATATCGCATGAATAATTTGATGATTGATCAGATTGCTATTATAAATGCGAAATATTTATATAATATGCTGCTTATATTTGTATGTTTGTTAGTCCTTCACAAAAAGTCGACTGGAGGGATTTGGATAACATTTATTACACAGATAGACCTAAATTAGAATTAAATTAATATGTTGGGACATTAACACACAAGTAAAAACATTCGTGCTCATCACAGAAATGATTGCCCCCAGCGAGACTTGCACACGCAACCGCTGGCACAGCAAGTAGGGTCACTACAAACTGAGCCAATCGTGTTGTCAAAAGTCCTGGAGTAACATACATGTGCCACTGTATGTATGTACGAGCATATAGGCCACTGTCAGGCACCTGTGGTCGCCCTTGGGCGGGGGTGCGTTAATACTAACTAGTATGTAATCAAAATAAGATTTAAAATTGTTGTAATAGGGGAGATCCTTATACCTTGGGACTTACACTTTTCTTTAATCCTTTATAATTTTAGTCCAAATTGATTTATGGCTATGAATATTGAAACTTCTATTAGTAGTCAATAACATCACAATATTATAGAGCAACACACTACCTTTTAAGGTTTATTTATGAGAAAATGTCAATTAATTACTTAAGGATATTTGTCCCAAGGTACAATCGTGGCTTGTACCTTGGGACACCAGTGTATGTATCTTGGGCCACAAAGCCTTTGTATTTTTTTTTAATACCTTATTTATAAATACCTTGCTATAAATGCCGCGGTGGTCGTGATGCCGGTAGGAGCTGCCAGCGCCGCTGCCCGTCGTCCAGCGGCGGAACGGCGACGACTGTTCACTCTGTGACAAAAGAACAAATCGATATTTAATTTAATTTTGTCTTGATCAGGAATCATATATGCAGTCCTTACGAGAAAAGTGGACACTTAATATCTATACCACACGCTTTCTTACTTTTATATATTAACAAACAATACAATTACACAATCGAATTATGTAAATATGTGTTTAGATAACTGCTTAGGTAATACATAGTTAGTATAATCGATCTCAACTCAGAAAAAAATTTTTTTTATATATTTAGTACATATTTTTGGGTGCTTAAATACTTTTTTGTTTATATTACATGTAAGTAATGAAAAAACAAGTTACAATAATGAAATCGATAAACGTCCAGTTGCTGTGACATGATCTAGAGTGTGTTATATGAAAACCAGCAAACTTTTCTAAGAAAAACACATCAAAGGATATCAGATTTCGCGCGGTGGCGACAGGGCGAGAGGTAGAGTTCACATTTTTAAATTTGAGAAGTTTGGCCTTCGCGTTATTCATGTACATACATACATATACATTGCTGTGTTACATAATTTATAATAATTTTTATTTGTAAGCTGTAACATTGTGAATCTTTATGGTACTTATTTAGTATTCTAAATGTTGTTTTGCCTTTACATGTACTATTTTTTAAATGTCGATATCACCTATAATTAAGGTAATATTCAATCTGTTTTATTTCCATGTATGTTATAAAGTGTTTAGTTTGTACTTTGTTGGTGGTCTAATAACTAATAAGTAAATAAAATAAAATAAAAATATATCATACATCAATATACGGTACAATATAAAGAACAAACTTTTACAGTTAAAATATAATTGTTTACATTAAAAAAAAAGACGAATTATGAGTCTTTGAAAATAATTTATTTTTATAAATTCTTTAGGTATCAAATTTAATTTGACAAGTACAGATACAGTGTAAGAGAGATCGATAACTATCTTTGTGCTATGTACTAGAGACAAAAACTCAACAATAGACACTGGTTGCTATCTCTGGCGGCTTCTACAAAGTGACTCGATAGAGAGAGATTAGGGAATAGAGTGATCAACATAACAGACACAAAAATTAAAAAAAAACTATAGATTCAGCCTCTGTATCGATAATAACACCTCCAGGTAAATTTCTAAGAAATTAATTAAAATTCTAAGAAATCTATTGTTAACTGACACGCCGCGCCGGCGTGTCCGCGGTCGTGAAGGGAATAATAACTATTTCAATAAGATTTTCCAAAAATATATTTAATGTACAGATTCGATTTAGTTAGAATTTTATTATATGTATAGATAAACACTAAAAAATCTATAAGTTTTAACTAATAAAAGATTGATTTCATAAGGATGTGGCATCAAAAGAAAACAGATCAAAGAATAGCTCGATGTCATCTGTTTATAATTTATATTTAAAATCACACTGAATAGTATTTGTAAATAAACTTGTAACACTGACTGTACTACTCGTGTCTAACACGATTAAGAAATTAAACCAAGTCGAAAAGCTTTCGACCCAAATACAATGTTTATTTCTTTAACATCGCGAATCTTAAATAGGGCGTACACTGTCGACTTGAAAGTCTTTATAAAAGCTCCTCGATTGATTTATTTACGTAACGAGTTTTATAAAATAGGCTAATAAAATAAACGAGGTTTTTAAAATGGTAAAATGAGTTACATCCGTTTTTATTTATGCAGTGCGAATTTAAATAATATTTGTTTAGTTTTAGAGCAATAAAATTGTAAAGAATTTTTTTAGGTCGATTTCAATGATTACTTAAAAAGCAATAATTTTATTATAGTAAGCCCGGTCATACTGCGCTGTGGCTTTGTCTAATATTATTAGAGGAATAAATAACTGATTTGCGACCTTGAACAAACGAACATTAACTTTATATCTTTATATATATAATTCTTCTGTGAGTGTGTATGTCACTGAACTTCTCTCAAACGACTGGACCGATTTTGATGAAATTTTTTGTGCGTGTTCAAGGGGATCTGGGAATGGTTTAGATTCACAATTTGAATAATAATTTTCATCAAAAAAATTATTAAAAAAAGTTTGAAATTTTCAAATTAAAGACGTGTAGACAGGACAACGTCTGTCGGGTCCGCTAGTATTATATAGATTGGAATCCGTAGCAAACATAAATTTTGGGGTTTATACTTAAAATAAAAAAATAGAACATTTTGTTTTAAATATTAGTTGAAGTAAAACTTATTTGGCAAATATCGCAATTAAATTAAAACAAATCAATAATTAAATAAGGCATGTTAGGCATATTACAATCATATATTTAAATAATATCATATACGGAAATAATATAATATTATATATTAGTCAGACAATAACAAAGGTTACCATGGCAACATGGCAATGTATTCTATGTATCTTACTCTCGCCGATTTAATCCTATATATTTATATGTTTGTCTCTTTTTAGTGTCGCGTTTTCGTTTCATCGAGTTTCAAATCACAACCATTCTAAAGAAGTTTCACTTCAAAAAAATTCAAATCTAGACTAAAATTAAAAACTAGTTAAGTTTGTCGACCTAACATAATATTTTATCGTACATGTAAATAAATGGTGGGTAACTGTACAATGAGTGTATAAAGAGTCGAGCAGATAGCAATCAACTGTTTCCTGAAATTCCCAACTCACACAATACCTGGGTACTAACATAATGTTGATGAATGATGCATTTCGATTGTATCGGGAAACAGGAAAATGACTGAATACTATGTATTTACCTATATATATATATATAGATTCTTTTTTATTCACTTGAAAAGTCATTGAAACATATACATATTATAGCCTATTTCTAATCAAATTCATTTCAATCAATTCCTAATATAGTCAGTGGTGTTATTAAACAGTTCTTATAGTTAATAATAATATAAACTATAATTTACTTGATGTACCTACACGTAAAAACCATATTGTAAATTATTACAATCAAACCGCAATTTTTAGGTTTTAACATAAGGGAAATTAAAATATAGATTAATTACAAAACTATTATTAAAATACTTAAGTATATTACTTTCAAGTAAATTCTTATAACTTTATTAGATATTTTTTTCCACTAATTATAATGTAAATTAATATGAAAGTAACGATTGGGCTTCGCTCGGCGTCTTTCGGACAGGATATAAATATTGTGTATTCTCCGAGAAAAACACCTATATAAATGGACAAATTTAAAATGCAAAACCTTATATAAATATGCACAAGATATGATCCAAACATTAGGGCCGTTTTCGAAGATACATGAAACAAATTTATATATATGTATACAAGAAATGCTCATATTAATATTATAAGATTCTTAAATGGATTGTTTTTTTTTAATATTTAAAAAAAAGTAGACCGTAGATACTCTATTTGTAGTACGAATATGTATACTTGTATTTAGTTAATAGGCTTTTCCCTCCATAAGAAAATTCATTATTATTATATTTCATTATTTTTACTCAATAATTAATTATTAAATATTATGTAGAAACTGATTTTACATTCAAATATTAATTTACCTCAGGTTCGTAGTCCGAGACGTACCACACAACCATTTTACACGCACAATAATAATCTACTAACGATTAAACATATGCTCTACTTCACTATATAGAGTCACCACGAAGAAACCACCGTCGAAATTAACCACAAAAGTAACAAATTCAATTCAGGGTTTTGATAGAGTCAACCGATATTTCTAAAGTCCGTAGGAAACTAATATTATTTTCATGATAAATCCAAACGTTCTGGTCCTTTCATAACTAACCACCAACAAATGTACGTGAAGTTAAAATTAATTCAAATTAAGCTTTTATAAAACAAAACCTTAAAAATTCAAAACAATCTCTACTATCACAATTATGAGAGTTAATATTTTTGTGCGTATTATTTTCGCGATATGTCGTCCCTAATGGCGGTACACACGCTACTGTTCGAGTCACCAGTACATAATGCGAATTACAATGACAATCACAGCGAACATCCCCGTTTCCGGCGACCGCGGACCAAATTAGACGAGCTGGCGGGCGGCGCAGGAAAAGCTGAATTTGTCACTTCTGCTAAGTGTACATCGGGGTTTGCATATTGTATTGTTTTATTCAATCGTAAGGGAAAGTCAACAAAATAAACAATTCAGCTACATGAATATTATAAAACAATATTATTTATGAGCTTAAAAGGAATTATTTATGATTCAGAAAGTATTTATACTCGTAATACGGAAAAACTGAGCTACATATTTTCTATTCTGGTATAAATACGAGTGTTTCAGGGCAAAATTGATATACGTTATTAAAGGGCGCGGGGATGTAGCTAGGGCGTGACCTCTGTAATATTCGTTTATTTGGTTTTTTTTACATATCTCTTACCGGATTGACTAGTTAATTATTTGTTCCAGCCTTATTTGAACTAAATATTGATATGTATTAAGTGAAGGTCTCTAAAACCCAGAAATCCTCATCCAAAAATTCCACACGAAACCTTCGTTTTCATCGTTTACCGGAAGTATCATGTTTTTATTTACGTCCACTGATATCTTCTGTATTTTTCGGTAATACTTCCTAAAATACAATAATACACATGCTAATAAATGGATTAAATTAACAACTATGGCTTCTTTAAGATCCTAATGTATATTTAAAGTAGAAGTTTGTTTGTCGATAACATTTTCGCGTGAGCCTATTTATTCGAGATCAAAGAAAAGCAAACAGTTGTGAGGCCGCCATCAAACACCGAACTAAATTGATAGAGTCTTGGCGAATGACAGTAATTCGCCAAGAAGGCCGGGGTTGAATCAATATGTTTAGAATCTGTAAATCAATCGACTGACCTCAATCTTATACTTGCATTAAATCATCTGAGATATAATTATCTATTTTATAGAAGCTGTAAATTTTGCTATGAATGCTGTCATTACCAAAGTAAAGGGCTACTGTATAAAAGGCATTAACCAATACGGATATAATTGCATACGTTTTGCTTAATATATTAAGCTTATAGAAGAATTCTTTAGATATTTAACCTGGTTATCTTTAAATAAACATAATATTTCATATCCATTACTACAAACAAATTAATAACAACTATAAATTGGCTATGTGTAAATAATATATGCCAAGGATATCTCCTAATTCGCCAACACTCCTAACTTGAGCTGAACTCTTGCCCATGACGACTACGCACAGGGCCGCGACTAAACCGTCACTTCTGGCTGCAGTCCAGATTTGAATGACAACGCTTATGGTGAGGACACACATTGTCCTCTATAAATGGTACCACTGTTTTGCCGACAATATCTATTGACGCAATTTGCAGCTTCGACAGCTCATTGGTTGACAAACCTCGTTATATTCCAACCATTGCCCGCGGCCCCGCCCGTGTTAAGATGACAAAAGACAAAAAACCAAATTTTTAGGTTTTACGTATTAGTATATTCTTACACTGCAGTTTTTGTATTTTTTCTCAGACATGAAACATTTTCCCGCGTGAAAAAGAATCCTATATGTTGACCCGGATAACCAGCTATCATCATACCAAATTTTATCAAAATCACTCCAGTAGTTTTTCTGTGATGCGGTAACAGACAGACAGACAAAAATTCTAAAAACCATAGATTCGACCTCTGTATCGATAATAATGTTTATTTCAATTAGATTTTCCAAAAAAATATCTAATGTACAGATACTTAGTTACAATTTTATTATTTGTATAGATTAGATTATTTTAAAGTTAGACAGAAAATTTCTCTTTGAAGATCCGATTTGAGGCACTTTTCAGGATAATACGTAATAAATGTGTTTACATTTATTCTATTATGATATTATTTAAAACATCGTGCTTTATTTCCCTATAACCCATGTTTTAGGCCAACATTAAAATAAATTATCTTATTGGTTGTAAAAATGATTCACAGTTTTGCCCGAATTCAGGATGTTTATATTTCAATATTTTATCTCGAATGTAACGAGATGAAGGTCCATCGAAGCGCAAGGTTCCGGATATACTTTCAGGATGTTACATGCTTAATTCGTAGAACTCGGCTATTCAGATTGTAAACTATAAAGAAAATATATCTATATTATTAGAAATAACTAAAATATTGTCTACATAATCTTATTTCTTCCTCAATTCGAACTATATACTTACTAAATTAAAATAGGTAAATATTTGTGATATCATTAATTCATTAGCTATGCCTATAGGTCAAATTTCCGAAAAGCTGCCAACTAGCTATATAGGTGAAATTTCCCGAAGGCTGTCAACTGTGTCGAAGCTGTCAACACAGCATTTGACCTAATAAAATCCCGATTGGCTTGGAAATCTTTGGCGGAGGCGTATGTCCAACATTGGAAGTCATAAGCGAGACAAAAAAGCTTGTGGCATTGATTTTGTGGTCTTCTAATTGACGTGTGGCGAAACACTAAAAATAGTTTTTATATGTTGTTTCGTTTCGCCCGTTTAAAAGAAGAAAAAGTTAAGTTGACTTTTGTCATGTAAAATTAGATATTACATTTTTGGAGTCATTATTAAACGGATGTTAGTATCTCTATTGGAGTAAGCTTTAATTTCTCCCATACTCCAAAGACGCACAAATGTTACTATCGAAATTTCTGCTGGTAAATTAGAACAAAGACTGTATAACTTCACGTTAGTCCCTCTATGACCGCGGACACTCCGGCGTTACAGTTAACAATAGATTTCTTAGAAATTTAATTAATTCCTTAGAAATTCACCTGGAGGTGTTAATTATTTTGCACAAAACACAAATCACCTTTAATCATCAACATTTTGGACAATGCGTGCTCGATGCAGATAGATTACCGACTGATCAAACTGCTTTTGACTGGTGTAATATCCGTATAGCAGTATAGTAATGAGATTAGCTTACAAAAACGACGGTTTTGTAATTAATAATTTCTCAACTATAACTTGTAATATTACGAAAAGCTATTTATTACCGGTAATTACACACGCGGCGGTATATAATCCTGCTAATTAATCAATGTGCAGCGATCTCGTTTCGAGCCTCTGATTTTAATTAAAACATTTATACGTACTCTGATGTTAAATAATAAGCATATTGCTTCCTACATAATTCTTCGAGGATAAACAAAAGGCTCTATTCCACGGTATTCTCTTATTGCCCGTTATGTTTTACAGGATGCATGTTGGGTGATGGTTCTCGCACATGGATAGTGTTTTATGAAACATTAGTCAAAACCTAACATTAAAGTGAAATTAAAGACATTTGACTTTGTCAATAACAAATATGTCTTGATTTTAATAAGTGACGATAAGTAATTAAGTTCATAAATATCTATACATATAATAAAATTCTAACTAAGTCGAATCTGTACATGAAATATTTTTTTGAAAATCTTATTGAAATAGACATTATTATCGATACAGAGGCCGAATCTATAGTTTTTAGAATTTTTGTCTGTCTATCTGTTACCGCATCACGGAAAAACCATTCGAGGGATTTTGGTGAAATTTGGTATGATGGTAGCTGGTTATCCGGGTCAACATATAGGATACTTTTTATCGCGGTTAAATATCTCATTTCTGAGAAAAAATACAAAAACTGCATTGTAAGAGTATACTAATATGTAAAACCTAAAATTTGGCTTTTGGTCATTTGAACGCGGGCGGAGCCGCGGGCAATGCTAGTAGTATATAAAACTGACTGGAGGCATACATTTTCACAGCATTTCCTCATATACCCTAGGTGAGAAAATTCTAAATTTTGTAAGTTTATTTCCTACAAATATTAAAACGAAGAAAAACGTTTGTTTGGAAGATCAAGGAAATTATTTTTGGGTTTAGGTAGATTTTGAGTAGCGACTAGCGACTCACCCTCGCTCCGCTCGAGTTCGTCCCAAGATACGTTTTAACGGTTAGGTAGTACCTATAGATTTCTTCAGGATGAGATATTTTCCCGCACTAAAAAGTATCCTATATGTTGACTCGGATAACCAGCTATCATCATACGAAATTTCATCAAAATCGTACCAGTGGTTTTCTCGTAATGCTTTCCCAGACAGACAGACAGAAAAAAATCTAAAAACTATAGAGTCGGCTTGTGTATTGATAATAACGACTATTTCGATTAGATTTTCCAAAAAATATTGAATGAACAGATTCGACTCAGTTAGAATTTTATTATATGTAAAGATGAGTAAGCGCATACGATAAAAACGCAGACCCCTATCATATGTTCGACGAAACACTTAATATTATAAATATTTCCTGCATAGTGATGTAATTGTAAAAGTAAAATAATAAAGCACATCCTACTCAGTACTGATAGTAAGTACCAACACATCACCGGGCAACGGGAGCGTTTTCCTCGGCAGCGGAAGAGATCACGTAGACACTGTTTACGTACACTCGCCAGACGTAACAATCCCGCAAAATTATACTTACTATGCAATATTTAAAAAATAAACCTGTTTTTAAGTTTTTCTATCGTTTCTATAACTTCTAGACTGTTTGTGTTATATGTATGGGTTATCATTTAATAATAGCTATTCTTAGGGGCATTGTGTCGTTTAAA